TGATCAGGGTTGCCGAGTTGGGGCCTCTTCAGTCTTCGGCAGCCAGACCCAAAACTGCCATTGACAGGTCTAGGGATGGAAGGACTGACTCTCTGGACTTTTGTCTCGAGGGGCAGTCACTTTTCCAGTGTCCCTCTTGACCACATGCTGGGCAAGGCTTGGTGGGTGGATGTGGCTGCGGGCACTGCTTGGCCCAGTGGCCTTTCTTACTGAACTTGAAGCAGGTGACTGGTGGAGTGCGGCTGGTCGCCTTAAACGAGGTTGATGGCTTCTCGGGTCTCACCAGCCTTGGCTGCAACCAAGGCTTGGTCTTGCAGGTGTGCCTTTTGGCGGACACGGGCTTTTTTTTTGGGTCTCTGCCTGTTTATCTCGGGAATTAAAGATTTTAAATGTCAAGTTTACCAGGTCTCGGATGGGGGTCTGAGGGCCCTCCTCTGCCTTTTTGAGTTTTTTTTCTGATATCAAGAGATGACTGCGTAATACAGTGGGTTGCAAGGACAGTAGCCCCTGTGGGGGAGGTAGGGTCTCGGCGAGTATATTGGATAAGAACGTCTGTAAGGCGGCTCAGGAAGGCCGCGGGGTTTTTGCCTGCCCTTTGAGTGAGTTTCCTGAGTTTGTCATAATTTATAGAGCGATGAGCCGCAGCCTGGAGGCCGGCAAGGACACACTGTAACACCTCCTCGGTCCCGGCCACTTCACGCAGTGGGCAGATGAGAGGACGATCAGAAGGGAGTGTGTGAGAGCAGGTGTGATGGCTGATAGGAGACCGCGGGGGAGACTGGGGGAATGGAGCGGTGGGTTGGGCAGAGGGCTCGGGCGGAGAGTGACCAGAGTAAGGCGGGGGTCTAACGGGAGGGTGGCCGAGAGAGTCTGGGGAATCTGAGAAGGCCGAGGATCAGGATGCAGTATTTGTCTTTCTGGAACATTTACTTGTACAAGCCCGACAGCAGCGTGTACATCCTGCCCTGCACCAGCCACGGCCCCGGAGCTGCTGGAGCCGCCGGGCTACATCTCCGCTGACCCTGAAGGGCGCCTGACGGGACTTGGCCCGGACACTGGGGCAGAGGCGAGGGCTGCTGGAGGGAGATCTGAGAGGGGTGGTGGGGAGGGATCTGGAGAGAGAGGAGAGTTGTGAGCCAGGAGGACCTGCGCAGGGTTACAGGTTTGACCAAGGGAGGGGCGGGAGTGCAAGTAGAACTTGCTTGAGTCAGGGGCTCGCATGAAAGCCGCCGTGGCGCAATGGAGGTGAAGGCCAGTGCTGCTCGTCAGCCAAGGTGGGATCCCGAGGCCTCTCTAGTCCGCCAAGGGCACACCATCAGCCCGTCTGGCCCGCTGCACCGGGGAGGTGGAGTACGAGTGCACGTAGAAGAAAGCCTGGAGGGTGCAGATAGCCTGGGGGCCGAGTAGGGAGACCTTAAGTAGTTAAGGGAAACATAGAGAGCTGAGAAGGCATCTGGAGAGACAGGAAGAGACGGTGCCGGCTGATGAGAGGACAGTGTCAGGGAGAGAGAGAGAGAAAATATAGAGAAAGCGATAATGGGAGTGCGAGCAGGAAAAGGCTTGGACATATGGGATCTCTGACCATTTGCCGCTCCTGTGACAAAAATTGTCAAGGTCTTGTAAGACATTGAAATCGAAAGTCCCATTTTTAGGCCATTGAGAGTCATTGTCCAATTTATACATCAGCCAGGCAGTATTGCAGTAAAAAATGAGGCGCCTGACCGGATGTCTAAATCCAGGGCTTTTAAATTGGCCATTAGACACCCTAGGGGCATCTCTCGGGGAATTGTAGAAGATTGGCTACCCATGTTGCCCCAACCCGAATGGGGGAAACACACAGGAACAGTATCCTGACTACAGAGGCCACAGAAGTATGGGGGACGTCTCCCCCGAGACTAGTGCGCCGGAACGGAAAAGGGGTGAGAGGAATTCAGGTGTCCCCGAATGACCTCAACCCCTGGAATGGGAGAGCCTCTGACGTGGGCCCACGGTTTAATGGACCGGAACAGGATCCGGTGGGGGGGAACAGAGACTCCCCGTGGGAGATTCCGGTTGAGATAACACAGGGTGACTCACCCAGGCCGAGGTAATTAGGGACTGGAAGGCGCGGGGGAGGTCCGGGTCCGGAATGCGAGAGTCCGTGGAAGGGGCGGCGCAGCCAAAACACCGTCCAGGGTTTCGGCACCAAATGTAAGGTTTTTGGATGTTCGGTGCCAGAGAAAGAAAGACGAGCAGAGTGTAAAGGGCAAGCAACGAGGCTTTATTGGGGAAAAGGAAGGAGCGCTCCCAGGCGAGGTTCACTGGTCCTGAGAGAGGGGGCCAGAGAAGTCACGTGCCCAGAAGTGTTGAGCAGGCTTATAAAGGCTTTACAGTTGGGGGATGGGGGTTTTTCTTCGGTGCGAAGTTTTGGTACGCAAAGTGGAGAGTTCTTTGTTACAGTATTAGGGCGGGGGTCTCGTAGACTTCTCTTTTTTTTTTTAGAGAGGGGAGGGGTGCCCGCCACCAGCCTTACAATACCAACAATAAGAAAGGAAAGCATGAGACGTATTTGCAAGGTGTTAAGGAGATAGCATCAGAAAGATTGGTTACGGGGAGCGGAGAAGATTACAAAGTCAAGGATGCCTAGGTTTATGGGCTGAGCATAAGTGGGTAGTGTTTTATTTACTGAGATAAAGAATTCAGGAGAAAGGTTCGGCCTACACAGTAAAAAATTCAGTGAGGAAAAGAGGACAATGAGAACGTACCACATTGTTAATAGTTACTGTCTGGAGGGGGTGGTTACTTAGTTTTCTTGAAATCTAACTTGAAGTGTTCAACATTTCTGTGATGAAAATGTATACATTTTTGAGATATCAAGGATGTAAGTTAAATACTTGAGAGCACTTTTGTGGGTTTTTGCCATTCAAAATCGTAGATGATAAATATGTAATTTTGTTAATGTTATATGGTTTGTGGAACTTCAAAAGCTTCCATAAAGATAGTAAAGAAGCATTTAGAAAATAAGCAGTTCTCTTGAAGACTGGCTTTCAAATAAAACAACTTTCCGCTTTGTGTGATAATCTTGATACAGGGATGTCAACAAATTAAGTCTAAGAAGCAGAGTCGAAGGTGAAAGACTAGAATTAAATCGACTTTTGAATATATAAACCTGTCTTTTTTAGCTCTGAAACCACTTATATTCTGAAATGATAGGAGAAAAATAATTTCAGCAGTGATCTTTTCTCTAAAATGTCAGGTAATTGGTATTGAACAAATGATAATAATGAATCTCTTGAAGTAGTAAATTTCATTTTTATGCAGCATTCATATTTAATGAGCAACAAGCACCAGAGGTTTATAAAGCAGAAATCATGTCAAAGTAGGTTGCTTTTTCCTTTTTCCTAAGCACAGGATCTCGAAATTAGAAACAAAGAGTGACTGTATTATGCTTGATGGTAGTAGAATACTTGACCTTCTGGGTCATAGATCCATAAAGCAAATTAGTTTGAATCTGCGTGGATGGGAGCATGGCACTCTGACAGGAATAGGAAGAAGGGTTCCAGATGAGTAGTCCAGTATTTGTTAAGAGTGTCAGAAGGCAAAGTTTGGCGATGTTTTTCAGGTTTGCTGAAAAAAAGAGCAAAATGAAGACAAACGTTGGATGCTATTATCTGTTAGGTGGTTGAATTTTTTTCCTCCAGAATAAAAGCAAAATAGAAAGCAGCCATTTTTAACAACGGCCAGATGTGAGAAGTCAGGAAACCACAGATGTGACCAAGAAGTAGTGCACGACGACAGAACCTGCTGTGGATCATCACCCGCAGCTCTGTGTTAGCCCCCACTTTGTGCTCTGGGTGGCTCACAGAGGTGTTCGTTAGAATTATAGGCTCATGGAAAATTTAGGGTATTAACATTAAAAGACTACATTTTTTATGAATGTCTTTATTAGGGAAAGCATTTTTTAAATTTTCTTATAAAGTATGCATGTTTTTTTCTTTCTCTGCACCCCTCTGTAGAACATTTTTACATCAACCATTTGCCTATGCTGGTCAAATGACAAATTCTGTGACAAGATACGCAACCTGCTCCCAGTGGGTTGGGGGGTGTGGGTGTGTGTTGCCCAAGGTGGCAGGTTATTTTAATCTGTTCTGAATATGGAAGAGATTACTGTCAAAGTTTCAGAAGAAAAGATATGGGTAATTCTCAAAATCTAATTTCCAGGTTAGTATTCTTGCTGCTAGATAGAGATGGGAAAGTCAGCTAAAAAACAATGCTTAATGAATGCTTAGGCTGTTTTGGGTTTGGTTTTGTTCCCCCCGACCCCCATCAGGCTTGTCAAACAGGCAGATCTCCCAAAGATTACTTGATAGGTTAAAGTGATACAGAGTTACAGCCAAAGGCTACCCTAGAGAGAGAAGTTGCAAATGAACTGGACAAATCAATTGATCTTATTGACCTTATCTGGGTGCTGGTAGATTAGCTTCTTGTACAGCTTTGCTAATAATTCCTTATAGAATTGTTAGAATGACAAAATAGGGCCTCTCCATTGCCTATTTCTGATGATTATTTTCTTGATTTTTCTAGGTTCCAGACATTTGGTTCTATGCTCATGAATATTCATAGAAACATAAAATGCCTCTAATATCCAGGCTAATAGTTTTGGCTCAGATTCTCATACTCAGATGGATTATTTTCAGTATAGAGATGATTTCCCAAAAATAGGCAGCTCCAACTTGGAATCAGATGGACTTGATTACTTAGCTAACTTACATAAGCAGCAAAAGCCCTACGTCTTTGAAATGGAGATAAAAATGCCTACCACATATATTTCTAGATAATACACAGGACAATTCATGGCTCAACGTTAGCACTTTGAAAAAAATAGCTTTGACAGCTCATATCATGTTAAAACAGTTTCTTCTTGATCCGTCATAATGACTTAAGTCTCTGCTTGCAATGCCTATCTGAGAAGATCTTAAAACTTAAAAACAAGCTAATTTATTTTACTTTGATTCCTCTAGGCAAGGAGCGAATGCCACAAGAGATGAGCTGACCACATCTGCATTCCTGACTGTTCAGTTAGATCGGTCTCTTGGAGGACAGGCTGTTCAGGTTGGGATATTTTTACCCCCAAAACTCACACGAGTTAAAGTCTTGCTAACTCCATTTCTAGCTACAGCTCCCTTCTCAAATTGGGATGGGAATTTGATATTTTCTTGATGTTAACTTTTTTCCATTTTAGAATTCAAATATTCCTACTCTTATGCCATGCTAGTTCTCTCAGATTTGAGAAAAGAGGGAACACACAAAAGCAAAATTAAAACAACAAAAAACTATTAACAGATTTAAGAGCCTGAAAGAATCTTCCCGTTAGAATCACACCATATGCCAATGATAGTCACTTGATATTAAAACTGTTCTACCTGTGTTATTACTTCCAGCTGTTGTTAAACAGATGTTGTAGACAGAATAATGTTCCCAAGATGTTCACAACCCAGTCCTCAGAATGTGCAAGTATGTTACAAGGCAAAGGAGAATTAAGGATGGAGATGGAATTAAATTGCTCACCAGCAGATCTTAAAGTAGGAGATTATCTGGGATTACTGGGTGGGCCCAGAGTAATCACCAAGGTCCTTATAAGTAAAACAGGGAGGGCCGGGCACCATGGCTGATGCCCGTAATCCTGGCACTCTGGGAGGCCGAGGAGGGAGGATCGCTTGAGGTCAAGAGTTCGAAACCAGCTTGAGCAAGAACGAGACATCCGTCTCTACTAAAAATAGAAAAAACTAACTGGTGTGGTGGTGCACGCCTGTAGTCCCAGCTACAGGGGAGGCTGAGACAGGAGGATCGCTTAAGCCCAGGAGTTTGAGGTTGCTATGAGCTAGGCTGATGCCACAGCACTCTAGCCTAGGTGACAGAGCGAGACTCTGTCTCACAAAAAAAAAAAAAAAAACAGGGAGGCAGGTAGTCAGAGGCATGCAACGTGAGCAATAGGCAGAAGTTGCTAGCTTTGAAGATAGAAGGGCACCCCAGCAAAAGAAGCTACAAAAGACAAGGAAATGGATTCACCCCTGGAACTGCTACAAAGGACTATAGCCCTGTGATAGCTTGATTTTAGCCTAGTGACTAAATTGTTATCTCAGATTTCAGCCCAGTGACTAAATTAGCCCAGTACTTTAGAGTTTTGACTTCCAGAACTGTGAGATAATAAATTTGTGCTATTTTAAGCCACTAAAATCATAGTAATTTGAGCCAGGTGCAGTGGCACAACACCTGCAGTTCCGGCTACTCAGGAGGCTGAAGCAAAGGGATTGCTTAAGCCCAGGGGTTTGAGGCTAGCCTAGGCAACATAATGAGACTCCATTTCTAAAAAACAAATAAATAAAAATAAGTAAATAAATAAAATCATGGTATTTATTAGAGTAGCAATAGGAAATAAATAGGACAGTATAGAACAAGCACAGATTAATAATTTTAATTAACCAGTTAATAAAGTTAGAATATCTTATACTCTCAAATCATAAAATTGCCTAAGTTATGCTTTGCACAGGCAAACTGAAATAAACCTTGATAAGAGAGTGTGGATCCTTATTTTTCCTTTTTATTTTATTTTTTTTTTTTTTATGGATATACAACATTTTATTTATCCACTCATCAGTTGATGGACATTAAATTGTTTTTGCTTTTTTGGCTTTTATAAATAATGTTCCTGTAAATGTTTATATACATATTTTTGTGGATATGTATGTTTTCCTTTCTCTCATATGCCTAGAAGAGGAATTTTTGGATCATGGTACCTTTATGCTTAACTTCTCGTGGAATTACCAAACTGTTTTCCATAGTTATTGTATTATTTTTCATTCCCAACAGGATTCTGATTTCTCCGTATCCTGGTCAATACTTGTTATTGTCTTTTGTTTATTTTATCCATCCTAGTAAAAGTGGAGTGGTATCTAATTTTGGTTTTAATTTGCATTTTCCTGATGAACAAAAATGTTGAGCATTTTTTGGATGTGCTTATTGGGAATTTGTATATCTTTGCAGAAATATTTGTTCAACTGACTTGCCCATTTTTCATTGAGTTATTTGACTTTTTATTGTTGAGTTTTAAAAGTTCTTTATATATTCTGAATTCAGATATCATATCAGATGTAAAATTTGCAGATGTTCTCTCCTAATTCAACAGATCATGTACTTAATTTCTTGAATCTGAGTTAGATTTTCCATTTCTTCTTTACTCAGTTTTGATAGTTTATGTCAAATTTGCAGACGTTTTCTCCCAATTCAACAGATTGTCTATTTACTTTCTTGAATCTGAATTAGATTTTCCATTTCTTTCTTTTTTTTTATAACTAGAATTCTTTTTTTTTATTATTTCAGGATATTATGAGGGTACAAACATTATGGTTACATTTTATGTCTTTGCCTCACCCAAGCAAGGGTTAGAGTCATGCCCTTCCCCTCTACAATGCTCCCTGTGTCCTTTAGTTGCGAGTTTATCCCCCCATCCCCCTAATTTCCTATTTAGATACTAGAATCTTTACTGAAACAAAGTCCAACACCCAAAAGTGAGAGGGGAAGGGGAGGAAAGGGAGGACAGAAATGGGAGTGGAGAAAGAGAAAAGATGGGGAGAAAAGGGAAATAAAAGAGGTCAGAGAGGAGAGGAGGGAAGGGAAGAGAGAAGAGGAAAGGACAGAGGAGAGAAATGTATTTTTTATTTGGATATTTCTGAAAATAAAATAACTTGAGATGATTAAATCTAAATTCAAAATGACAATTCCATATAAATAGAAATAAGTCAAATTTATATATATATATGTGTGTGTGTGTGTGTGTGTATATATATATATAGAGAGAGAGAGAGAGAGAGCAATTGAGATAAAGGGGGCCAGAAGAGCTAATGTATTGATTTATTTATTATAAAAATTTGAATGTCACACAATACCAATGTCTAGTTCTAGATCTCCTCACTGTGTCTGAGGGACTGTTTCCAGCCTGGTTCAACCTTCTGTCCTCTTAAGTTCAGCTGCTCCTCTTCTTATGTGTATGGTGGAGTATCTGCTACTTATTTCAAGATCCTTATTAGTAACCACAGGAAACTCTTGGTCTTTCTTATTTAATTCCTTACTGTATAACTGAAATACAGACTTCAAGGAGACCTCTTTCCCTCTAGTGTGCTCCAGTGTGTCTGTCTACTGCTTGTTCCTTGTCCCTACACTAGCACTAAGTAGCGCTCAAGCACTCTTCCCTTTGTCCCGCCCCCCCACTGCCCACCCCCATCCTCCCCGCCCTCCTTCCTAGCTGAGCTGCTGCACACTGGAGCTATCTCTACATGGCTGTGTGTTTTCTCTGGCCAGTTTTTGAGAAGATGTCTGCTCCAGTATCTTCCAGATCAGTGTCAAACTGAAAGCAGGTGCTTATTTGGCCAGTGTAGTGACGTTTCTGATACAGCAGCATTAAGGATTCCCTTTGCACAATTGTGTCTAACTTCCTCATTCCTGATGTCAAGTGAGCTAAGAGTTTATGTGGTAAACAAGTTTTTTATTTTGTCAAATATTTATAATTGTTTAATTGCTCCTTCAAATGTAATAATTAAATAGAGAGGTAAGTCAGATACTTTAGAACATAAAATCTAAGATGAGGCTGAATTTGATCTTCTAGCTGGTTTGCTTTCCATCTTGGTGCTTGTTAATAGATATATAAAGCAAGTTAGATCTAAATTTAAAGGTGCATATTAACTTTTTTTAACAAGTTAACTTGCTAATTAATTGTTAATTAACAAATTAACAAGATGATTGAATTCTTTAAATGTACTCAAGTTTGTCATTAAATTGATCCTTAAAGAATTTATTACCAAATTATTAAAAAACTTTGAATATATGCATTGTGCCTTACCTATTCTATATTTCAGAGTAGAATATTTGATACACCCAATTAATGAATTTCCATGAATTGTTTTAACCAGTTGAATCCTAAATTGACAACAAAATGGTAATTTTTAGCTTAATCCACCAGGTGGCAGTAGTTTATAATACTGCATACAAAACTAAAGTCCTGTATTGCTGTTTTAAACATTTCTTTCTAGAGTATATTAACAATACTGAATATTGTTCAATCTACCTTTTTTTTCTGTCTTATTCTCCTTTCATATTAGGGGATGGGCCTTAGTCGGTGGTCCCCTTTCTCTTATGTTGGCAATTGAAGTTTTCTCCGTGTTATGTGAAATACTAAGCTAACAGTGGCTATTCCCTCCTACCCCCATCCCAAGCTCTGGGCCTGTGACTGAAGAAACATTTCCATAATTTACTGCTCACTTATTTGAATGCCTACTAGTCTTATGAAGTCAGTTATTCTCAATGTGCGCTAGGCCTCCCCATAAGGGTAAGTGCATCGGCATACTCATTCACCTGGTTTCTAGAAAAAGACAGACAAGAGTAGGAGAGACAGCTTAATTCTAGCATAGGGCAAAACAAATGAAAAAAATAGAGGACTGACACAAAATCTGAACTCTTTATGTAAGGAAAAAAATACATCAATAGTTGATGTGAAAAATAAGAAATTCTAATCCAGTACTTGGTGTTGGCAAAAATCAGGAAAATAATTTACCATTTATTTCTTCAATTTCTTCATTCTGAAAAGTCTTTGTATTGTAGAAAAAATAAGTTGTTTATAAAGAACACATGTACTATTGCCATTTCTATAGGTAAGTTAAAAAGTAGAAAGTATGTTCTGTTTTGCCAGTTTTTAATACTTGGGTAGAAATCTTCTTGTGTGTGTGATTTTTAAAAATTTCCCAAATAATGGGGATATAGAAATAATGAGTATGATTTTGTGTCATCTTATTTTTTGAAGCCTTTGAATGTACATCTCTTAACTTTCTGAACCAGACCCCAAATTCATGAGAATCTAGTACTTCTGTAGACATCTGTAAAATGTTGATGCTCTTGAAAGAAGAGGAATTTTCATATGAGTTCACAGACACCAGCACTTTGTGGTTGTGTTTTCTCTTTTGGAGACGTGGATGAACAGACTTAAAGCAGAAAGTGCTGCAGTATGGCAGTGTGCCCCCAACTAGGAACTACTCAGAGACTCTGTGTCTGGGGTAACAAAAGATTCTTAAGTCCATGAGGAAACTGTGCTTGATTATCATAAACCTGTATTTTCTGTTAATCATCATTCTTCCTGCTCTTGACTTTTTAATTTTTGTTTTGTTTTCAAAAAGAAAAAGTAAGAACACATTTAGAAATACGACCTTCTTTCATCACACTCTCTATTACACTTCTGTTAATTCTCCCATCCTCCTCCCCAGATCCGAGTCTCCCAAGGCAAAGAGCCTGTTCACCTGCTGAGTTTGTTCAAAGACAAACCGCTCATTATTTACAAGAATGGAACATCAAAGAAAGGAGGTCAGGCACCTGCTCCCCCTACACGCCTCTTTCAAGTCCGGAGAAACCTGGCATCCATCACCAGGATTGTAGAGGTAATGTCACACATTCAATAAAACATGCCCTAGTTATGGACTTCCCGATGGACCTGAGCCATCAACAAATATTGGTCTTTAAAACTTGGCAAGCCCACTGTTCACAATAAAAAACACCAAAAGCAGGAGAGTTGAGTGAAAAGTGAAACTCCAAATACTAGGCCTCTCACATTTTGCAACTGCATTGAACCCAAACAAATGAATTTTTAGAATACAGTAACAAATCAAGCTGTCAAAGGCATGAGGCAGCTTAAGCTCTATCTTGAAAGGCCTGTGGTAGATGGATCACACGTGATGGTCAGATGACTGAGCACACTGGGGACATTTGAGTGGGAAGGCCTTGGTTCGCGCAAGTGTAACAAATGTGGGAGGCACGCCCCGCCACACTGGACTAGAACCTTACCTGTATTGGCGAAATGAGAGGTTCTGACGGCAGCTAGAAAAGAAATCAAACCCCCCTTATGATGGAGACACAAAATAGGACCTCCTGGTATAGACAAGAGCAGCCTGCCCAGGTTTTTAAATGGCTGAGTGTTTTGACCTATAGGACGATCCTGTCTCACCTTGTATCCCAGTCACCTCAGTCACCACTGAAATCCAAGCCCCCCACATCACCCCTAAACTGCCCTGCACACTCTGCACATTCCCAAACCTGGAGCCCTCCCCCAACACTTGCCCTCCATGCAACCATTCACCAGAGACCTTAAAACAGGATCGGTCATCACACCCTCCACCTGCAACCTTTTCTGGAAGCCTCCTGCCCCCTTCACCTTATTGCCCTACAACTGTCCTCTGAGGACAATTCCTGTGCAACCCTCTCAAGTGGAAGTTATATTTTCCCCAGTGCCCGCTCACCAGGGCCTCAGGGACGGACTGGACGGGGTACCCTCCTTGTGTCTTTGGTTTCTCTCCTTTCATCAGCCTCTCCCTCCTCCAACCCTCTTGTGCTGTCTTCTACTGAGCTTCCCGTCCTTCCCTCTTATTCTTTGATGGCTTCAGCCATTGCCTCACTATCTCCATCACTCTGCCTTCTCTCTCCCAACAATCTTTTCCTTGACTCCATTTCCTCTCACATCCTCATGGTCCTATACTCAGTTTTGCCATTGGCAGTAAATATACCTACTCAGAAATCTCTTTCAATCATCTAATAATCTCTGACAACCATCTCCTGCCCTTTGGCTCCTCTACCCCAGGGTGCACACTCAGGCAATTCTCTAGTCCTGTAGCTGAATCCGTGACCCTCAGCATCCTTCACACCCTTCCTGTCCTCCTCTGTCCCCAGATCCTCAGCACCCTCTGCTCTCTACTGATACCTTGATTCAGAGTTCACAGAGAATATAAATATAATCACACATGAATCACCTTATGTACTCTCCTGCAATTTTACTAACTTGTTTTCATCTGTGCATATATAATCTCTTTCCCTTCTGTTTTATGAAATAAATATTAAAATTTTATTTATATTTTAAAATTTATAAATATTTTATGTTAATAATTTTCATATAAATAATGAAGTGTTTTATAAATTTATATCAGTATATTATTATTCATAAATTAGCAATGAATAGTATAAAGTGATGTATCGATAAGTAATTTAATCAATGTTTATTACATAGATTAACCAATGCAGCTCCTAATTTGGCTCTCTAAGGCCAAATTCCTCCCTCCGCCTCTCTGCCCCCAACTTCTGTCTAGGCTCCCCTCCTATCTTGTTTTCGTAAGGTTGTTCCTGGATTTCTCTCTTTCTGATGCATTTACCCCACTTCCAGTTCATTGTGCTTGCAGGCAATAGTCCCCTTTCTCTTCCGTATCATCAATTGATTCTTCTATCCTGCATCATTTACTTTGAATTACAAAGATGGCAAAAACCTCCCATCATTTCTTTAAAAATGGTGTCTTAACTGACCTTGACCTTCTCCTACTATCACATCATTTCTCTGTCCTTCTTAAGAGCACAAATCCTTCAAAGATCTGTCTTGAAGCAAACTTGAAAGAGCCTTCACCCACTCACGTTCTCTACTTTTTAATCCTGCTCTCTCTAAAGCCAGCCCAATCAGATGTCCATTTCCACAACTCCACTGAAGTAGTTTTTATCTAGTTTGCCAGTGACCTGACTCGTGCCACAATCAAATCTCTGATCTCTGATCTCATTTTTCTTAACCTCCCACCAGCATTTACCAGAGTCAACCTTTTCTGTTTTACTGAACACTTTTTTTCACTAGGGATCTGTAACACCATCCATATCATGATTTCTTCCAAACCTGCCGACCACTCTTCTAGGGGCAATTTTGCTGGGATTTCCTCTTCCACTTGACCTCTAAGCTCTTGAGTGCTCCGAGGCTCAGTCTTGGCCCCCTTCATAGCGGTCTCATTCAGTCATATAGTTTAAATGCGAGCATGTATTAATATATAGATCTCGTGCAGAACATTTTGTGCACAGATTCTGCTGTGTTCAATTACAACTAATTTTTTGAACTATCAAATTGACAGTTAAGCTGTCATCTGTGGGTATTCTCAGTTGATTTCAGTTGGAAAAGTCAACCAAAATATAGTATCGTTGGCCGGGAGCGGTGGCTCACGCCTGTAATCCTAGCACTCTGGGAGGCTGAGGCAGGCGGATTGTTTGAGCTCAGGAGTTTGAAACCAGCCTGAGCAAGAGC